GCGGCAGAGCCGTTCTGCAGCGGGTAGAGCACGAAGGGCGCGTTGTCGTTGGCGTCCAGCACCAGCACGCGCACCAGCGCCTGGCTGCTGAGCGCGGGCGAGCCGCGGTCTGCCGCGCGCACGCCGAACTCGAAGGCGCGCAGGGCCTCGTAGTCCAGCGACCTGAGCGCGAACAGCTGGCCGTTGTCGGCGTTGATGGACACCAGCGAGGCCAGGGCCAGCTGCGGGTCGTGGGGCGGCAGCAGCGAGTAGGTGACCTGGGCGTTGGTGCCCGCGTCTGCGTCTGTGGCGCTGATGGTTCCGATGTGCAGGGCGGGGCTGTTGTTCTCGCGGACCAGCAGGGTGTAGGAGGCCTGGGTGAAGGCGGGGGCGTTGTCGTTGACGTCGGAGACCAGCACTGTTATGCTGTGCTCTGTGGTCAGCCTGGGTGTGCCCAGGTCGGTGACGGTGATGGTGATGTTGTACTCGGCCCTGGCCTCCCTGTCCAGTGGGCGCTCTGTTACCAGAGTGTAGAAATTCTTGAAGGTAGGTTTCAAGTAAAAGGGAAGATTGTCTTGTATTGAACAAACCGTCTTCCCATTATCTCCAGAATCTTGATCTCTAACGCTGAAAACAGCGACCACCATCTCAGGCGAAGAGTTTTCAGGTATAGGGCTGGTAAGAGATGTCATGGCTATTTCTGGTGGGTTGTCATTCACATCTACAACATGAACTAAAATGACTGACTTTCCAGAAAGGCCCCCACCATCCACAGCTTGAATATTTACTGTATAAGACTGAATTGTCTCAAAATCCAGACTTGCTTTTAAATAGACTTGGCCAGAATCTGGATGGATTTCAAATATTTTCCTTATGTCTCTGGAGACATGGGAAAATGAATAAGATAGTTCTCCATTTACTCCTGCATCTAAATCTGTAGCAGACACCTTGATGACCAAGGAATCCAAAGGGCTGTTCTCTGGTATTTGAACCTCATAGAGCGGCCTCTCAAACTCTGGGGCATTGTCATTAATATCCAGGACCACAATGCGAATCTGTGCAGTCCCAGACCTGGGCGGAAACCCACCATCAAAGGCAGTTAGGGTTAAACCAAGCTCAGGAACCTTTTCTCTATCCAGAGATTGGTCTAATACTAGCTCGGGGTATTTTCTGCCCTTATCTTCATCTTGTAATTTAAGGTGGAAATGGGGGTTGGGGTTTATTGTATAGTTTTGAACACCATTCTTTCCCACATCCAAGTCCTGAGCACTATCCAACTGGAATGAGGTTCCTGGTGCAGTAACTTCTGAGATTTTTAGAAGTATGTGTTTGTCTAAGAACGTGGGAGTATGATCATTTATGTCTTTGACCAAAAGGTTAGCACGGAAAAATTGCAGAGGATTTTCAAATAACACTTGGAAATGCAATATGCACGGCTCAGTGAGATCACACAGTGCCTCCCGGTCCAGTTGTTCATTTACAAGCAAGTCGCCTGTCTGCAGATCCAATCGCAAATATGGTTTATAGTCATCAAAAATTACTCTGGCCCCTCGTGCAGCCAGGTCTTTTGCACCTGAAGCCATGTCTTTCACTACGTTGGCTATAAAGGATCCAATCTCCGTTTCCTCTGCCACAGAATAGCTCCAGGTCTCAGAGCAAACCAAAGACCCTCCCAGGAAAACAAAGAAAAGCAGCACTTGCCTTATCTGCTGAGCGTCCCCGTCTCCCAGCTCCATGGCTCCTTAGATAAATGTCCTTTCCAAGACACGTTTTTGCTCACTCTTAGCGGCTACGTTGCTCTCATCAGCTTGGGCCTTCAGAATCTATAGACTTTGTAATCCTGTTGTGAGGGTGTTGTTGGCACCCCACCTTTCTCGTGAAAGCCACTTCTGTTTCTCCAGCGCTCTCAGTTCCACTGGTTAATGGAAACCAGAGTATCCGCTCTTAACAAAATCTCACCATCTTATCCTGCAGCGCCACCATGCGACTCTGCAGATTTTCAGATTTTAGACAGTCAAGTAAGCTAGAGACAAAATATTAACTTACCTGTGTGCTTGCAGATGAATTCAAATGTTTCCTTCTAAGTTCCTGTGTTCTTTTCTGAGTTGCATTCTTTATGATATGTGATGATGTTACCATTTAGTTATTTACACACTAAGCCACAATCAACTAAAGTTATGGGGGATATAAAAAGCATATTGAAGATATATAGCCCATGACTCAAATGAGTAGGATTTTTTTGTGATGATAGTGTACAAAACAGCCAAACATGTTTAATATTCTTGCATTGACTCAGTAAGCAAGAGGTTCTCGGGAAAATTAGAAGTGGGAGTCAGAAGACTTAGTCACTCACCACTAGTTATCAACAAATACCCTTTAGAAAACACAGTAAGAAGGAAGTAATGCACTTGAAACTGAACCTGGTATACACAAATAGTTGTTTAGGAGAGGCTGAACATTCCGGACTGACAAATGGTACCATTTATTTAGGGATACTCCATAAGTGACCTACCTGGCAGGAGGGAAAAAAAATGCTTGGGGGCCAGCAAGTTGGCATGGTTGTTGAGGCGCTGGTCTTCCACATGGCTGACCACAGTTCAAGTCTTGGATCTAATGGCTTGGTTTCTCACTTTCCCTCTCTTTCTCTCTCCCTCTGTCTCTCTCTGGTAAAATTTTAAAAAATGATAAATAAAATAATTCTTTAAAAAAATGCTTGATATTAGTAAATTAAATAAGATGTGTCCAGTTTCTGGTAACATAAAACAGCTGAACAAACTAGACCCTGGTTTAGCTATGAAACTGAATTTCCTCATTTTGCTGACCTAGCCTGTCCAGAGGCACAATTCTAAATATTTTATTTATCTCTTCATTAATTTGTTTGGCAGCTTTGTATTGAGCATATATCTTAGTGCTGGGCATGGTGGTATATACTATGGATAGGAGGGTAAACAGAAAGATGTAATTCTCGCCATGTAAGGGGAAGCAGAATAAAGACCATACATTTAAAATAGAGTATAACGAATGCCATGATAGGGAAAATTCAAACCACTGTAAGAGCATAGACGAGGGTGAGGGTCATCTAAGCAGAATTTGGAAGTATGGAAAAGGCTTCTCTGGAGAAAGCATTTTCAAAATTGGTGCATGAAAAATGAATAGGAGTAATATGAACACAAACTGGATATGGGATAAAATTTCCAAGCAAACTAAAAACGTGATTGTGCAAACTCAAAATAAGAGAAATATGTTAGCAGAACTGAAATCAGGTCAATAAGGCAGAAGCATAGAATATGAGAGAAATGTGAGAGTTGAAATAGGAAAGATAAGCAAATATTTTGTAAGCCATACAAGGCATTTGGACTTTGTACCTGTGGAAGTGCAAGATGGTTAAAGGATTTTGCACAGAAAAGTGACATGATCAATGTAACATGGAGGGAAGTTTACAGAGACATTTTCTCTTTCTGGCGAGTGCATGCGCCCTATAGCAAAAACCTCTCCAAAAAAAATATTGCTTCTGATCCAATCTTACTCATCCTCCTTCTGGGATTCTGGTTAAATATATACTGAAAGAGAAGGGGTGGGGAGAGTGAGAAATCACCCCCAGGGGGTGGCTGTGCTACAGTTCCCTCTCCTCCACTCTCCTCTTGGGGTTTTGGGCATGAACACACATATGCCTCTTATGATTCTCAAGTCACCAGGTCTGGGACTCAATCTGGGAAGCTGTCCATGAGGGATCCAGCCCCTTAACCTCTACACCACCTGCTGACCCTTATACTGAATCTGTTTATTCTGTTCTGTTTCCAGTCATCCCCTCTGCATTTCTCCCTGAGCCGCATATTGTGTAAGTTAAACTCAAACCTATCTTTTATTTAATTAACTCTTCATTTACTTTAATCTAATTTTACTAAATGTTTTATTCACTTTAAAATTTTGATTATTTTATTTTGTATTTCTAGTTCTAGTCTGTGCCTTTTAGATTTGTCTTTTTTTTTTTTTTTTGCTATAGGGTGCATTTGCTTGACAGAGACAGAGAGAGTGTGTGAAAGTGAGAAGGCGGCCCCCAGAGGGGATGGCCATACCAGTTTGTTCTCTCCTCCATTCTCCTCTCAGGATTTGGGGCATGCACATACATGTGCCTGGCAGGAATTTTAAGCCACAGAGTCTGGAACTCCAAGCATGTGGGATCCAGTTGCCTTAATCGCCATACCACCTGTCGGCCCCTAAATTTGTTATATTTTAGGGTTCCCTGTACATCTTTGAATTTAACTTTTGCTTCAGTTAAGACATGGTGATTACAGTATAGGCATAATGTTTATAGTATTCTAAGTAATACAAGGTTATTCCTGTGTTTCGTTCTTTTCAGTTGATTCTTACTCGTGCTGTCTTGTTTCCTTGTGTGTGCAGTTACTTTTGGCTATGTTCAAGTTAACATAAAAATTTAGTTATATGAATAATTTGAAACTTAGTATGGATAAACTTTCTTTCATAGAAGTTCCATGTTTTAGAGGCAAGCAAGTGGCATGGTGGTTAAGGCACTGGACACGTGGCTGACAATGGTTTGAGTCTTGGACCTGGTGGCTTGCTTTCTCACTTCCCCCCTCTATCTCTGTCTCTGTCCCTCTCTGGCCAAATTAAAATAAATGAATGAAAAAAATAAAGTTTAATAAATAATTTTTTAAAAAGTTCTGTGTTTTATTTTATCAGTACACTGCTTGTCCATAATCATTTTAAATCAAATTAAGGCTAAACGTCAGGGCCAGCAGGTGGCATGGTGGTTAAGGGCACTGGACTTCCACCTGGCCAACCTTGGTTCAAGTCCTAGACCTGGTAACCTGGCGACTTTCTTTCTTTCTTTCTCTCTCTCGTTCTCTCTGTCTTTCACTCTATCCCTATGTGCTCAAGTTTAAATAAATAAATAAATAAAGTTAATAAAATAATTCTTTTTAAAAAGCTAAACATCAAGTTAATGGCTGAAATTGCACACAATGGCTCATTCATTCTGAGCATATTCTCACTTTGAGGGTATAGCTCTTTTTTTTTGGAGAGGTTTCTGCTATAGGGCGTGTGCGCCCACCAGACACAGAGAGAAAGACAGAAAGCGAGAAATCTCCCCCCAGGGGGGATGGCCACACCGCAATCCCTTCTCCTCCATTCTCCTCTCGGGATCTTGGGCACACACGCACATGCACCCGGCGTGGGTTTAAGCCACCTGGTCCGGGATGTGAACCGTGGTCGACTACATGGGAGTCCAGCGACATAGCCATTACGCTAATTGCTAGTCCCGAGGGTATATCTCTTAGGGACTCATCCTTATTAAGAGCCATTTTCTATAAGTGTCTCACTTTGTTAGGCTTTGAAATCCCCCCTTATTATTCAAACCATCAAAATTAGATTTCAAATTTTTCAGGCTTCTAAATGTTCCTGGGGAAAAAATAGATTTTGCGCTCCTCTATCTCTCTGAGTTTCCTTTTAACACTAACTTTGACCTGACAGTATATTAATACCTTATTACCTAAATGTTTTTTGATTATTGTACTTTGTATTTTCAGTGAAAACATTGGTCTTATATAATCCCTATTAAAAATATAAAGTTTCAAGATTATTATTGTACTTTAAAATTACAACTAAACTCAGCTTTCATGGTGTTTGGCTAATGGATCTTGTTGAGGAACTACAGAAATTAAAATCATAAGTATTTTTAATAGAAAATTAAATAATTATTTAATTTAATTTATTATTATTATTACTTGATTTGACCAAAGAGAGACAGAGAGAGAAAGGGAGAGGGAAAAAGCAAGCCACCAGGTTTGGGACTTGAACCATGGTCAGCCATGAGGGAATACAATGCCTCAACCACCATACCACTTGCCAGCCCCCAAATCATAAGTATTTTTAATCTACCAGAATAAGATAAAATAAACACATGTATCTGTTTGCAAATGGATGTGAATGCTAATGAATGCAGTGAAATTCCATGTCTGTACTTTGCCAAGTCTTCCTCTCAAAGGAAGTGTTTATGGATAGTATTCATCAACCTGATTGGAAACTGAAACAAGGCAGATGGTCAACACATAGCTGTAATGTTACTTAGCTGAGTAAGACACTGTATCTCCCAATACCGTAAGTTAAATTGAGTATTTTCAAGAAGAAAATTTGGTATACAAATTCATATTTTCAATGCACAAAATCATGGTCAAAGCTATTCATGTCTTTGTATTTTATATACTTCTCATTGTATACATAATTCAAATAAGTACAATTCTGAAAAATTAGCAATCACAAACGTATTTAAGAAATTTTGGCATAGTGATAAAGGCACTGGACTCCCAAATGACCAGCTGCAGTTCATAGCACACTGGGCGTGAGTGCATGCCCAAAGGATTGTGGCATCTGATTTATCACTTTCCCCGTCTCTCTGGCAAGCAAATGCACCCCATAGAAAAACTCTCTTTAGAAAATAAAAAAAAAATTTTTGCATAAAGGACAGTTGTGGTGACAATTCTAGTGCCACTAATTCACTAAGAGGTGGAAAATTATGAATGTTAATCCAATTTAATAACATTACAATTATATGTTGAGGGTTTAGCGGATGGTGTAGTGGTTATGTCACTGGGCTCCCACATGGCCCACCACAGTTCAAGTCCCAGACCCGGTGGCTTGAAAATCATGCCGGGCATGTGTGGGTGGGTGCCCAAGATCCGGGGTGGGGAGAATAGAGGAGAAGGGATTGTGGTGTGGTCATCCCCCCCACACCGAGGGTTGATTTCTCACTTTCTGTCTCTCTGTCTCTCTCAGTCTCTCTGGTGAGTGCATGTGCCCTATAGCAAAAGACTCTCATGGGCCAGCAGGTGGTGTGGTGGTTAAGGGCGCTGGACTCCCACTTGGCCAACCACAATTTGAATCCTGGACACAGTGGCTTGTTTTTTCACTCTCTCTCTCTCTCTCTCTCTCTGTCCCTCTCTGGTCGAATTAAAATAAATAAATGAATAAATAAATAAATAAATAAATAATAAAGTTCAGTAAAATAATTCTTTAAAAAACTCTCTAAAAATTATATGATGAGACTAGGGGTTTGGGATCAGTTTGAGATCAAAAGAAAAATATAATTCAAGAATTTAAAGGTTCTGGGACCAGCAGGTGGCATGGTGGTTAAGTTGCTGGACATTCCCACATGGCCGACTGGGGTTCAAGTCCTGAATCTGGTGGCTTCTTTCTCACTTCCTCTCTCTCTCACCCTCTGTCTCTCTCTGATCAAACTAAAAATAATAATAATAATAAATGAATAAATAAATTAAATTAAATAAATAATTTTAAAAACCATTGAAAGGTTTTGATTATCATCAATGATTATATATTGTATCTGGTTAACCCAAAGTTATATTCAATAAAAATATTATGTAACATACCCACAAAAAAAACCCAAAAATAAAATAAGTATTTTTAACCAAATTCAACAGATCAATACTTAATCAACTTGATAATGATGCAACTATTTTAAACAATACCTTGAGAGAAATAACTTTTGTGATTGACATTAGTAATGAATTCTCTTTTTCCCTTTGCCTCTACAGTGATTTTGAGATCTCCTCTATCATGACCAAGTTCTCTTATATAAAGGATCTGACCTTGGCTTATATACCATCTGGTAGTCTATGAGTCTGTTCGAATACATGTATTTATTTCCTTAAGGTTTGTAATATGTCCTAATATCCATAAGTTATATCTATAAGATAGTATATTACCTCATTTTTTTTTAAAGTTACTGTAGCTCTTCATGTAACTTTTTCTTCCATGTCAAATATTAGAAATCATGGGGCCAGCAGGTGGCATGGTGGTTAAGGTGTTGGACTCCCACATGGGCAACCATGGTTCAAATCTGGACCTGGCAGCTTTCTTACTTTCCCTTTCTTTCTCTTTCTCTGATCAAGTTTAAAAATAATAATAATAAGGACCAGCAGTTAGCATAATGGCTTTGTTGCTGGACTCCCATGTAGTTGACCATGGTTTGAGTCCCAGACCTGGTGACTTAAACTCACGCCGGGCGTGTGTGCATGTGTGTCCAAGATCCAGAGAGGAGAATGGAGGAGAAGGGATTGCAGTATGGCCATCCCCCCGGGGGGTGATTTTTCACTTTCTGTCTCTCTCTGTATTTCTGGTGAGTGCACACGCCCTATAGCAAAAACCTCTCAAAAATAATAATAAATTAAATTAAATAATTATTGAACACAAATTTTTAAAAATATTGTAAATCATTTCTAGATCCTTTTCTACTTGTCATGGATTTCACTGGAATTAGATTGAATTTAAAAATTATTCTGTGAAGGGAACCAGCAGTTGGCGTAATGGCTATGTCGCTGGACTCCCACGTAGTCAACCACGGTTCACGTCCTGGACCCGGTGGCTTAAAACTCATACCGGGCGCGTGTGCATGGCGTGCCCAAGATCCCAAGAGGAGAATGGAGGAGAAGGGATTGTGGCGTGACCATCCCCCCGGGGGGGGTGATTTCTCACTTTCTATCTCTATGTCTGTCTCTGTCTGTCTGGTGAACGCACGAGCCCTATAGTGAAAAACCTCTCCAAAAAAAGAAATTATTCTGTGAAGAATAGACATTTTTATCATGTTAGGTTGTTTTATTAAGGATCTAGTATCCTACCTCGCTTATTCAACATTTAATTATTTTACTTATTGTTTTAATAATGTAATTCATTTTTCAATAAATGTTCCTGCCTTTTTTGTTATGCTAAGTCCTAGAAATTATTACTTTTACATTTGTTTTTAATTAGAAAGGATGAAGATACACTACTCTTCTCAAATCCTGACAAGACAGAGAAATGGAGAAACAGGATGTGGCATAACCATACCTATCATGGGGGGTTCTCTCTCTCTCTCCCCCACATGCCCTCTGGCAATACAAAAAATAAAGCAATACCAAGTCCCAGAACATTATAAGACTCCTCTTTCATATCACCAACAATAAAATAATTAAAGGAAAGATTACTTAAGAAATAAATAATTTCCAATGTAGTCACTTTAATTTTATCATAAATTTAATTCTTAAAAATCACCATATAACAAAAACGAAGTTCTCTAGTTCTAAATCAAATATACTTTCCACTCAGGTTTCACATTTTCTAATTTTTGCTTTATCTATGTTTTGACTAATAGAAGCATATTAGTATATTTTGACATTTGCATTTAATCATGGAATTTGTATCTCCAAGTTCAGAATATTGTCTTGCATAACATCATTGTCGTGAAAACTAGCGACTCCATTAATATATCATTTGTGATCAACAGATGACAAAAATGGAAAATACAGATTGTATTTCCATGTCATTATAGCCGCTGATAATGTTAAAGCAACTGTTAGGTGAAATAAAAAGCATGCAACTACAGCACAATCTAAAATTCAGTATTGACTAGGGAAAAAGTATGGCAGTTTGCCAAGTATAAGTTTAAGATAAATTATTTTATTGAATATTGAATCCAAAGCTATTGCGAAAGTTCTCCTTTTCCTCCATATTCCTACCAGTGTCATGGACTTGAAAATTGGGGATAATCGGCTTGAGAAATTTGAACTCGCTGGCCCCAGTGCCTCCAGTCAGACACACCTCATACTGGTAGCTGTGGGACAGGGTCCCAGTACCGCTGACGTCTAGCAGGTGGCCCGGGAAGGGGCCCTCGGGCACCGAGCAGCCCCCCAGCGAGGCCGCCCTGGCCCTCCTGCACAGCCGCGCCGCCACGAACAGCAGCACACACAGCAGGAAGAGCGACGACACCGCCGCCAGCGCGATGACCAGGTAGACGGTGAGCGAGTCGGCCTGCGCCTGCGCCGGGGCGGCCTCGGGCAGCGCCAGGTAGGGCTGGGAGAAGCCGTCCACCAGCCAAACAGCCCGGGCTCCGTGGCCTTGAGCAGCTGGTACGACAGCCAGGCGTTCTGGCCCGAGTCGCCGTCCACCGCCACCACCTTGGTCACCAGGTAGCCCGCCTCGGCCGCCCTGGGCACCAGCTCGGTGCAGGGCGCAGAGCCGTTCTGCAGCGGGTAGAGCACGAAGGGCGCGTTGTCGTTGGCGTCCAGCACCAGCACGCGCACCAGCGCCTGGCTGCTGAGCGCGGGCGAGCCGCGGTCTGCCGCGCGCACGCCGAACTCGAAGGCGCGCAGGGCCTCGTAGTCCAGCGACCTGAGCGCGAACAGCTGGCCGTTGTCGGCGTTGATGGACACCAGCGAGGCCAGGGCCAGCTGCGGGTCGTGGGGCGGCAGCAGCGAGTAGGTGACCTGGGCGTTGGTGCCCGCGTCTGCGTCTGTGGCGCTGATGGTTCCGATGTGCAGGGCGGGGCTGTTGTTCTCGCGGACCAGCAGGGTGTAGGAGGCCTGGGTGAAGGCGGGGGCGTTGTCGTTGACGTCGGAGACCAGCACTGTTATGCTGTGCTCTGTGGTCAGCCTGGGTGTGCCCAGGTCTGTGACGGTGATGGTGATGTTGTACTCGGCTTGGCTCTCCCTGTCCAGTGCTTTTCCAGTAACCACAGTGAAGAAATTCTTGAAGGTTGGTTTCAAGGTAAAGGGGAGGTCATCCTGGATAGAGCAAACAATCCTTCCATTGTCCCCAGCATCTTGGTCTCTAACACTAAAGACAGCGACCAGGGTCTCTGGAACATTTTCTGGAATTATGTTTGTAACTGATGATATGGTTACTTCTGGTGGGTTGTCGTTTACATCCATCACTTTAATCAGAAGAATGCATTTTTCTGAAAGACCCCCACCATCTGTTGCCTGAATATTTATAGTGTAGGACTGTACTACTTCAAAATCCAGGTGTGATCTCAAATGAACTTCTCCAGATACTGGACCGATTTCAAATGTTTTGCGAATATCTTCCGAAGCATGGAAAAATGTGTAAGATATTTTCCCAAAATAACCTGCATCCAGGTCCTTAGCAGAGATGGTGATAATCCAGGAGCCAAGGGGTGTGTCCTCCAGGACCTGCACCTCATAGAGACTCTGAGCAAACTCAGGAGCATTGTCATTGATGTCCAAGACCTTGATGAGAACTAAGGTTGTCCCAGATCTGGGCGGGTATCCACCATCCAGTGCTGTGAGTGTTAATCTGAGCTCAGACTCCTCCTCGTGATCTAACGCTCTGTCCAGGACCAGTTCTGGGTACACCTTTCCATCGTCACCACCTTGAATTTTAATGTAGAAATGAGAATTGGGGCTAATCGTGTAGTTTTGGAGACTGTTGCTTCCTATGTCCAAATCTTGAGCACTCTCCATTAAGAATGTGGTTCCGACAGTGGTACTTTCTGATATTTTCAAAAGTATTTCCTTGTCCAGGAAGGTGGGGGAGTGATCATTTATATCTTTAATGTGTAGCTCAGCCCGAAAAAACTGTAAGGGGTTTCTCAATAAAACCTGAAAGTGCAGCACACAGGGCTCCGTGGAGCCACACAGCTCTTCTCTGTCCAGTTTCTCATTTAGGATCAAATCCCCGGTAGACAAATCGAGGTGCAAATACTTTTCATTATTATCAGACACTACCTGAGCCTCCCGTGAAGACAGCTCCTTTACCTCCAACCCCAGATCCCTTGCAAGATTAGTCACAAAAGAACCAATTTCTGTTTCCTCTGCCACCGAATATCGCCCAGATTCAGGACTGGTCTGAGACAATCTCAGCAAAACAAAGAGAATCAAGACTTGCCTTTTCTGCAGAACAAGCACTCCCCTGATCCTCATGGCTCCTCCAGGCAACTCCTTTTGCGGAAAAATTTAAGCTCAGCCTTAAGTTTGGAAGGCAAGCTCTGATTTTTCCATAGGAAATTCTGGCAGGTATATCACCCTCCAGCAGCTCTCTAGGCAAAAGCCCCTTTAATACTGCTCTTTTCAATCGATCGGGTGTTCTCTGTTCTGAGTAATGGAGTCCGCCGTGTTTAGCCCATATACCGTCTTCATCTTATCCTGCAGCGCCACCATGTGTCTCTATCTATTCGTTTTATTAACAAGCTTCTCCCCATTGAACATGGAAGTCATGAATACATTTGGAGTATTAGGAAGCAAATCCTATACAGAATGTATTTTTTACCTCTAAACTTTACCTCTGATAAACAAAGACTTTTAAAATATAACTATTATACTATACCATTATCCCAACCTACGAATTTGGCAATAATGCCTTGATGTTATTTATACAGTTTGTGGTTGATTTTCCTCAAGTTTCTCTGAAATGTCTTTTGCTGTTGGTTTGTTTGAATCAGAATGCAAACAAAGTCTATACACCGCATTTAATAATTGCTGTTTCAAATGCTTGCAAAGAAGGATTCATTAAAATGTTCCTAGTTGAAGAAATGTTATTCATGCCCTTTCTTGAATAATTATAAATGTATTCTCCTCCGCTTTTATAAATACTTGTGTTCATTAAATTATAGTTAGTAGTGTCCTTATTTTTTCACTTTTATAGTTAATGAAATACATGGCATGTATAAAATACATGGCACAAATAAGATAGAGAGGATCCTTGCTTTTATGGAACTCACAGGCTAGAAGAGTTGGTAGACAAATAATTAAAATATAATGTGTGCATAGGTAAAGAGTAATGTGGAAACACTTAGACGGGATTTCTCATACCAGGAGGCAGCGTGCATAATGCTTATGAACTTGGGTTCTGGAATAAAAATGTCCAAATTAGAATCTGGGTTCTGCCACTCACTGACTACAGACTTGGATAAGTTATGTACCTCTGTTTATTAGCATGTGAAATAGGGTTGAAAATAGTATTTACCACCTAGAATTACTATTGCAAGAATCTAATGAGTTAATATTTACAATGTAGCTTTAAGTGTTAAGTTTCTGTTAGTGTCAGTTAAATAGGGGGTTGAGGCCAGCAGGTGGTGTGGTGGTTGGAGTGCTGGATTTCCACATGGCCAACCATGGTTTGAGTCCTGGACCTGTCAGCTTGCTTTCAAATTCTCTCTTTTTGTCTCTCTCTGGTCAATTTGAAGGATAATAATAACAAATAAAATTAAATAAATAATTTTTAAATAAATAAATAGGGGTCAGCAGGTGGCATGGAGGCTTATTTTTTTAAAAAAAAAATTTTATTTAACTTTATTTATTTATTTTAATTTGACCAGAGAGGGAGAGAGAGAGAGAAAAGGAGAAAGCAAGCCACCAAGTCTGGGACTCGAATTGCAGTTGACCATGTGGTAGTCTGGCACCCTTAACCGCATCCCCCCCCCCCCCCCCTGCCAGCCCCGATGGCATGGAAGTTAAGGAACTGGGTCCCACATGGCTGACCACATGGTTTGAGTCCCAGACTCGGCAACTTGAAAACCACTCTAGGTGTGTGTGTGTGTGTGTGTGTGTGTCCAAACTCCCAAGAGGGGACTGGAGAAGGGATTATGGCATGGCCATTCCCTCTAAAGAGGAGGATTTTTCGCTTCCCCTCTCTATAGATTTCTCTTTGTCTCTGTCTGACCAGTGCCCTGTAACAACAAACAAACAAGAAAGTAAAATAAACGGGGTTGGCTCTGTGGCCCAGTGGTTAAGGGAGCCAGATCTCAAATGACCAACTGTGCAGTTGGGGTCCCACTCCAGCAGTTTGAAAAACACACTGTATGTGTGTGTGTGTGTGTGTGTGTGTGTGTGTGTGTGCATGCCCCAAGTCCTGACAGAGTGGAAATATGGAGGAGAAGGGGTTGTGGCTTGACCACAGCCCCCTGCAGGGTGATTTCTCGCTTTTCCGTTCTCTGCCTGTCTCTCTCTGATGAATGCATGCACTCTGGCAATAAAAGCAAAACAAATAAAATACATATATATAGTTCAGGTTTTAACCTGGATTCTGGGACATCAGGGAAAGCTACATTAGTGAATGTGACTTGTGACCTACAGCAGCTAGTCAGGAAAAGAAATATTTCAGACAGGCATTTTGAGAAACAGAAGTTAGGAATGCTTAAATTTAAACTGTGGAAGAGGAGGATTAATAAATGAGATTAGGAGAAAAAGCAAAGTGAGAACATCATAATCATTGGATCATCAGAAAAGTCATGACATATTTTTTTCTGGTTTTCTACACAGCCCATATTTTCTCCTCAGACTTCCATCCAGCCAGGATTCAGATGAGCACCTGACATGTTCAAGCCAACCAAGGATCTGAACCTGGGCTGGGCCTCCCATGTGACCCTGATATCACCTGGCACCCTGTCACCTACGCCACTGCATCCGAGCCCTAGAATTCTTTGATACTTTTACAATAGCAGTTTCAGTGGAGTTGACAATTAGATTGCACTTGGTTGAAAGAGAGAGGGATGGACCAGCAGGTGCTGTGGTAGTTAGGGTGCTGGACTTCCACATGGCTGGCTGGGGTTCAAGGCCTGGACCTGGTCACTTGCTTTCTCACTTTCCCTCTCTCTCTATCTCTCTCTGGTCAAATTTAAAAAATAATAATGATAAATAAAATTCATTCTTTAGAAAAGGAAATGAGAGGAATGAGGAAGCAAACAGGGTAGACAACTCCTTTTAAGAAATTTGTAAAGAAAGAAGAGATTGTCAAAGGAAGAAATAGATATATCCGGAGGAAAATTTAAACTCAGAGGGTATTTTTTCCTGAGACTAGAGAAACTTGAACTTATTTAAAATACCAGTGTGTAATATTCAGTACACAGAGAAAGAATTCAGACATAGAGGAGGTAATGTGAGGGTCTGACAGAGGGAGGAAATTCAGATATAGACGAGAGAATGTAAAGACTTGGAAGGTGGTTAAAGGTGGGATCCAGACGGTATAAAAGAGACGGAGGGGTCAGCAGGTGGCATGGTGGTAAGGCACTGGATTCTCACATGGACAACTGTAGTTCGAGTTCCAGACCTGGGGTGTTTGAAAATCACAACAGGTAAATAAATAAATAGTTTTAAAGGAGTACAGGATTTGGCACAGAATAAATGTGAGATAAACCATATCCAGCATTTTTTTAAAAAGGAAATTGAACCTAGACAGATGGGAGGAACCTCCACAGAAGAAATGTGTAGGTACAGATGTTATCAAAGGTGCACATTAGAGGTCAGGAAGTTGAGACAGTTTCCAGCTGTTGGATTCTATTTTCTCTGTAATATATTAAGCAAGTTCATCTGCTAAAAGGGGGTATATAAGTGGTAGGGTGAACAGTTTCAAGTAAAAGTAGATTTGAACTAGTTGTTGTGGAAAATAGAACAAAAGTTAATTAGAAAACCTGACTAAGAAAGCAAGTTCTGAGGCCAGCAGGTGGAGCGGTTAAGGTGCTGGGCTCCCACATGGCCAACTGTGGTTTGAGTCTCAGATCCAGTGGCTTGAAACTCATGCCAGGTTCATGTGCGTGTGTGCCCAAAATCCCAGGAGGAGAATAGAGAAGGGATTTCAGGGGTGATTTCTCACTTTCCCTCTCACTGTCTCTGCTGAGCACATCAGCCTTATGGCAAAGCCTTTGGGGAAAAAAAGGAAAAGAAAAGGAGTTCTTGTTTTCAGAAGCTGAATCGAGTTTGGATATAACTTTATAGTGGCAGTGGTATTGATACTTCTGTAAATTTTCCTCATAGAGTGCAGTGGCTCAAGTGTTAGAGGGGAGGAAGGAGACAAATATATTCATCTGGAGTTGAGTTTCTTCAGGACAAGGGAATTGACACTATAGGCATGAGAGTCATCAGGAGTAGTAAACCAGGGAAACAGCAGAGTAGGAAGAGAATTAGCACAGACAGCAGTCGATAGGTGGTAGGCATCATGAAATGAAACTTCTGATAAGGTCTAAGACAAGCTGTGATAAGAGTAGCAGATGAGAGGATCAAAAGCCTAGAAGACTGTCGTCTAAGAGGGAGATATCTAAAATCATTACATCACAGAGTGGTGGGCAAGATTTGAAGTTGAAAGGAAGATGAAGAGAAGCAATGTGTTTGCAGGGCGAAATGTCCTTGTGTCATTTCTCTTCCCATACGCTTGGCTGATTTCTAACTAACTTGTCTGTTTTTGTTTGTTTGTTTTTGGTTTTGGTAAGGATTTTAAAGAAAATCTATTTCATAGGGCTGGGCCATATCTTTGATCTTTATGTTCTAAGTGTCCTTTTACCCACCCCTTGGGTATAAGAGTACTTTCTAAATTACAGCCTATAATCCTTGTCTTAGTCTCTTTGTGTTGCCATCACAGAATACCTGACAGTGGGTGATTCATAAAGAAAAGATATTGGGGACCAGCAGATGGCGTGGTGGTTAAAGTGCTGGATACTTCCATGTGGCCAAGATTGGTTCGAGTCCTGGATCTAGTGGCTTGTGCTCTCTCTCTCTCTCTCTCTGTGTGTGTGTCTCTCTCTGGTCAAATTAAAATAAATGAATGAATAAATAAAATTAAATAAACAATTCTTTAAAAAGAAAAGAGCTTTATTTGGCTCATTGTTCTGGTGACTGAAAAGTCATGAGGTAGGCATGAGGTAGGCATGGCCAGCTTCTGGTGCTGTCACATCATGGCTGAGAAAAGCAGAGAGGGAAGCAGGCATGTACAAAAAAGAGAGGCCTGCCTGAGGGCTGACTTGTCTTTGTAATAACTCACTCTCTCAGAACTAATTAAAGAGATCTTTCCGCCAGACAGTTTTTATCTATTCATGAATGATCCACCCCCATGTCTCAAATACATCCTCCTAGCCCCGACCTCTCAACACATCACACTGAGTATCAAATTAAGCATGAGATTTCAGAAGGTCTCAACACTCAAACCATAGCAGTCCTTTAGCATAAAATTGGCTGATATGCCTTGATTCTTATGCATAGTATTCATTTTACTGTAAATGAGGTCTTTGAGGGACCAGCAGTTGGTGTAATGGCTATGTTGCTGGACTCCCATGTAGTCGACTGCGGTTCACGTCCCGGACCCGGTGGCTTAAAATCCATGCTGGGTGTGAGTGCGTGCATGCCCAAGATCCCGAGAAGAGAATGGAGGAGAAGGGATTGCAGCGTGGCCATCTCCCCTGGGGGGGGGTGATTTCTCACTTTCTGTCTCTCTGTCTCTGTCTGTTTGGCGAGCACATGCGCCCTATAGCAAAAACCTCTTCAAAAAAAAAATCTTGTTATTGTCTTATCTGTTTTTTTGATCACACAACTCTATTGTGTATGAAGTGGCCATCTTTACGTTTCCATCTCCAGCATTTTATGTATCTTATTTTCATGCTAAGAAGCTATAATGCTCTATACTGTTTTAATATAGAGGTCATTCATCCCTCCTACCACAGTAAATACAGTAAATATAGGGGGTATTCTTAATATTTGACTTCGATTACTAATGAGATTTACTAATTTCTTGTGAATTTCATTCTCTGTATAAAGAAGCTTTCATGTAGGGGAAAAAAGAACTTGGTCTTAGCTCCACTTCTGAAAACAAAACAAAAGGGACCAGCAGTTAGCGTAATGGCTATGTCGCTGAACTCCCATGTAGCTGACTGCGGTTGGAGTCCCAGTAGCTTAAACTCATGTCAGGAGTGTGTGCGTGCATGCCCAGGATCCCAAGAGGAGAATGGAGAAGAAGGGATTGCGTTGGTGTGGCCATGCCCCTGGCGGGGTGATTTCTCGCTTTCTATCTCCCTGTCTCTCTCTGTCTTTCTGGTGAGCGCATGCGCCCTATAGCAAAAACCTCTCCAAAAAAAAAAAAAAAAAAGAATTTAATTAGGCTGCATGCAACAAACTTGATTTTTTGTTCTCCCCATTTCTCTTGAACAAAAACAATAATTATTTGATTCACACAGTTCAACAGAACTGGTAGTGAAATCAGCTTTCGATGTATACATTAGGTTATCTTAGATATGCTGGAAAAAGGGATTGTACTTTTTGGCATTATTAAATGGGTATTACTCTGTCCCATTAAGATAAAGTTGAAAAATATTTCCAGGAAGCAATTTCTGGCATTGATTCTGGTTTGTGGCAATAAAAGCAGTCACTTCACTCATCACCAATTTCACCTTTCCCCTGCATATTCTTACATATTTGTTCCTCTACATTTTTCTCCCACAACATACAGATCTAGACTTTTTTTTTTTTTGAGAGGTTTTTGCTATAGGGCGCATGCGCTCGCCAGATAGACAGAGAGACATAGAGACAGAAAGTGAGAAATCACCCCCCAGAGGGGATGGTCACACCGCAGTCCCTTCTCCCCCATTCTCCTCTCGGGATCTTGGGCACGCACGCACACGCACCTGGCGTGAGTATTAAGCCACCGGGTCCGGGACTGGACCCGCGGTCGACTACATGGGAGTCCAGCAACATAGCCATTACACTAACTGCTGGTTCCCCAGATCTAGTCTTTTTGATGAAGTAAATGGAAAATGTTCTTCCACAACCCTGAAGGCCTTTTCTTCCACAGCGTGCTCAGATTCTTAGAGGCAAGAGTGATTAGATGAACCTTGTGCATCATGAACCAAAACCGATTCTCCTACAATGGTTTGTGATTTTTAAAAAAGAAAAGAATGATCTTTTGATACTCTCACTGATCAATATATATTATTCTTTCATATGTCTGAGAAGAGTGGTTTTAAACTTTGGGTTGCTACCCATTAGTTGGTCATGAAGTTGATTTAGCAGATCATGACTGCATTTGAAAATCAAATAGAATGGAATAATACAATTTCAGACTGCATTACATAAAAGGCTAAGCATTGTTCACAAAGCTTTTCTTCTATTTTAGTGTATGTTGAAAAATATACAAAAAATAATTTTTTAATTGGTACAGTTTTGAAAAAGTGAAAAGTAGTTCCCAGTGTACATACATTAAGTTCTTGGAGAACACAGGCAAAGATTTGTACATATTGGGAACCAGCAGTTAGCGTAATGGCTATGCCGCTGGACTCCCACGTAGTCGACCGCGGTTCGCATCCCAGACCCAGTGGCTTAAAACTCACGCCAGGCACGTGTGTCTGCGAGCCCAAGATCCTGAGAGGAGAATGGAGGAGAAGGGATTGCAGTGTGACCATCCGCCCTGGGGGGGTGATTTCTCGCTTTCTGTCTCTCTGTCTGTCTCTGTCTGTCTGGCGAGCGCACGCACCCTATAGCAAAAAAAACCTCTCCAAAAAAAAAAAAAGATTTGTACATATTAGCACATGCGTTCACTTTGTTATACAAATTATTATTCAAGTGTCTGCATTCAACCAGATTGCATTGTAGCTTGTAGGATTAATAAAATGTGGAAAATTATAGCTTCAGAGTAAAAAATTCTATGAGTGGCCACAATGTAAGCATGTCTTCACAAGCAATGATTCTGGATGAAAGAGGAAAGGACAGTAAGAAACTTGCCGTCTGGCCCTTTCTAATCAAGTGATTATACTTATGCTCACATCATAGAACATGGTTTCTCAAGTTTATGTTTTAAAAGTAATAAATACATGTAAATGGGGACCAGCAGTTGACGTAATGGCTGTGTTGCTGGACTCCCATGTAGTAGACCTACGGACCACTGTTTGGGTCCTGGACCCAGCGGCTTAAACGCATGCCACACCCAAGATTCTGAGAGGAGAGTGGAGGAGAAGGGATTACTGCATGGCCAACCTCCCCACGGGTGGGGGGTGATTTCTCGCTTTCCATCTCTCTGTCTCTCTCTTTCTCATGAGCGCATAGGCCCTATAGCAAAAACCCTCACAAAATACATTTAAGTGTTTAAAGAAAATGACATTTCTGAGTAGCAATTATTATTAGACCAAAGAAAAATAGCAAAAAAAAAAAAAAAGAGAAAAAGAAAAAGAAGAAATGCTGGATGGAACATTTGAAATACTTCCAAATTGGTATTTATTTTATCTTGAATTACTTCTGAATTGGTGTTTATTTTACCATGAGCATAATTATGAGTGAAAGTTCAACTGGAGGGACAGATGTGGGAAAATGTGACTTGGTGTTATTCTTCAAGGAGCCAAATTAATTACAAATTAAGACTGCCTGGACTAGAGAATAAATTACTATCTATGACAACCATAAATTAACATTTACTGAAAAGCAATGGTGGAAAGAACATAGAAAATAGGAAAGCAAAGATAGTACAATGCTAAATGCACACAGACTGGCGGAAGTGCAATGAAATAAAATACAAATGAAATATAAACCAATTATGCCAATTAAATATTAATAAGCTATTATGGAAGGAAGAATTTTCCTGTTTCCCAGGACACTGGAGCTCAGTATTAGACAAAAGAACCTGCAGAAACTGGAACGCATTAGCCCTAGATCCTCTTGTCAGACATTTTATTGAATGTTGAGTCCCAAGCTATTGCGGAAGTTCTCCTTTTCCTCCATATTCCTACCAGTGTCATGGACTTGAAAATTGGGGATAATTGGCTTCAAGAACTTGAACTCGCTGGTCCCAGTGCCTCCAGTCAGACAGACCTCATATTGGTAGCTGTGGGACAGGGTCCCAGTGCCGCTGACGTCCAGCAGGTGGCCCGGGAAGGGGCCCTCGGGCACCGAGCAGCCCCCCAGCGAGGCCGCCCTGGCCCTCCTGCACAGCCGCCGCAGGCTGCGCCTCCCCATGTTCCCTGCCCAGCAGCAGCAGCCTGTGCTTGGCGGCGTCGCGCTCGCTCAGCGGCCTGGCGGTGCGCACCTCGCCATTGTGCGCCCACACGCCGAACAGCCCGGGCTCCGTGGCCTTGAGCAGCTGGTACGACAGCCAGGCGTTCTGGCCCGAGTCGCCGTCCACCGCCACCACCTTGGTCACCAGGTAGCCCGCCTCGGCCGCCCTGGGCACCAGCTCGGTGCAGGGCGCAGAGCCGTTCTGCAGCGGGTAGAGCACGAAGGGCGCGTTGTCGTTGGCGTCCAGCACCAGCACGCGCACCAGCGCCTGGCTGCTGAGCGCGGGCGAGCCGCGGTCTGCCGCGCGCACGCCGAACTCGAAGGCGCGCAGGGCCTCGTAGTCCAGCGACCTGAGCGCGAACAGCTGGCCGTTGTCGGCGTTGATGGACACCAGCGAGGCCAGGGCCAGCTGCGGGTCGTGGGGCGGCAGCAGCGAGTAGGTGACCTGGGCGTTGGTGCCCGCGTCTGCGTCTGTGGCGCTGATGGTTCCGATGTGCAGGGCGGGGCTGTTGTTCTCGCGGACCAGCAGGGTGTAGGAGGCCTGGGTGAAGGCGGGGGCGTTGTCGTTGACGTCGGAGACCAGCACTGTTATGCTGTGCTCTGTGGTCAGCCTGGGTGTGCCCAGGTCTGTGACGGTGATGGTGATGTTGTACTCGGCTTGGCTCTCTCTGTCCAGTGTTGCCTTTGTTTCCAACGTATAGTAATTCTCTACCGAAGATTTTAGCAGAAATGGGAGATCTTCTGAGATAGAACAAACCATCCTTCCATTGTCCCCAGAATCTCTGTCTCTGATACTGAAAACCATAACCACAGTTTCCGGTGAATTTTCTGGGATTGGATTGGTAATTGATGACACCGCGATTTCAGGAGCATTGTCATTCACATCTATCACTTTGATTTTTACGGTTGATTTCCCAAAAAGTCCTCCCCCATCTGTGGCTTGAATAATTATTGAATATGATTCAGTTGTTTCAAAATCTAAGGATGATGTTAAACTAACTTCTCCAGACTTTTGATTAATTTCAAATGTCTTGCGAATATCTTCTGAGGCATGAGAAAAGGTATACCATATCTCCCCATTTGTACCCGAGTCTAAATCCCCAGCTGAGACGGTGACAACCAGTGAACCAGGGATGCTATTCTCGGGAATCTTCACCTCATAAAACAGCTGCTCAAATTCGGGAGAGTTGTCATTAATATCCACCGCCACCACCCGAACCAAGGCAGTCCCTGACCTCGGAGGAGTACCACCATCCAGAGCAGTAAGGATGAAACTGAGCTCAGGCTGATCTTCATAATCCAGCGCCTTGTCCAGAACTAACTCTGGGTATTTCCTATTGTCTGGATTGACTCTCATTTTAATGTGGAAATGCGAGTTGGGGCTTATTGTGTAGCTTTTCACGGCATTGATTCCGACATCTAAATCCTTTGCACTTTCTAGTAAGAACACAGCACCAACAGGACTATTCTCAGGGATTTCTAGAAGCATTTCTCTTTCCAAGAAGATGGGAGAGTGGTCATTTATATCCCTGACCTGAAGCTCGATCCGCAAAAACTGCAAAGGGTTTTTCATTAGCACCTGGAAATGTAGCACGCAGGGCTCCGTGGAGCCGCAGAGCTCCTCCCTGTCCAGCGTTTCCCTTAAGATCAAATCGCCGGTGTTTATGTCCAGGTGCAAAAGCTCTTTGTTATCATTAGAGACCACCTGAGCCCCCCGTGAGGCTAGCTCACCCACTTCCAGACCCAAGTCCTTTGCCAAATTGCCTATCAAGCTCCCGCTCTGCGTTTCCTCCACCACGGAAAACCTCCCAGGCTCAGAGCCCGCCTGAGACATTTCCAGCAAAACAAAGAGAAGCAGGACTTGCCTTATCCGCCGCCGAGTGCTTGCCCCTCCGTCTTCCATAGCTCCTTTCCGAATTCCCCAAGGCTTCTTGAAGAATCGCTTAAGCTCCACTTAGCAGTTCTAAGAAACGTGCCTCTGATATTTCTGCAGAATCTTCGGAAAGCTAAAGGTTTTAAACAACCTCTAGGTCGTTTGTTGAAGGCCGGCCTCTCTGTCTTCCCAATTCTTTGTGTGCACTGGGTAACAGTATCTTATCTACGACTTCATCCAGGGTTGTATTTTGGGATTTTCTGGCGATATTATCCTGCAGCGCCACCATGCGTCCCCACAGATTTTCGCAGTTTGATGAAAGCTAGCTAAGATCCATTCACAGAAATGTCCCCCAGAAACAAAGATCATTTTATTCACTGTATGCAAATTATTACAAATATATTCTACTTTCCACAATAATTGGGGAATTTTTTGCTATAGTTTGTCATGATCTTAGTACCTGTTTTAAAGCATTTACTCTTCATTTTCACACAACCAAATGTGCTCCATTTTGAATATAAAAATACAAGATGTGTTTCCTGGTCTCCAGAAGTTTGTAACCTCTAAGAAGATTGTAAACCTGAAGCAAGGAGGGTACAATTGATTATTAAGCTTCATTCTCATGGATGAACCCATGGATGAATCCATGACTACTTGGCCTTCCCTGTGTAGCAAGGGAAATAGATAATGTTGAGGAGTCATTTCAGTAGTCCTCTCAAAGGATATGGCACTGGGTTAGCCATGAGATGGGGCATATTTAGATGGTTCTATGTTATAAGAAGGAGTCTTTAATAGCGATAAATTAGGAACTGGTAGAAAATAACATAAGATATTGGAGTATAACACATTACATACATTTATAATTTAGTTTCCCCCAGTTTCTGGAGCTAAATGTACAAGATTTGAGGGAACCAAGTTCACAAGAAGACAGAAGTCAGTTAAAGACTGTGGGAAAAAAGCTATTAGTGAAAATGCATATATAGGAGAGTTGAATTCTCTATTCTTATAACTGCATAGAAAGGAAAATAACTCAGGGTCAGACAATGGAAAGTTTATTTTCTGGAGATGTGAAATGGGACTTTTTCTAGTCTTGAAGACTCAGGGAAAGATGAGTTCAAATGTGAAGTATGAAACTGAAAATAGGGAGAAAGGGCCAGCAGGTGGTATGGAGGTTAGGGTGGCTGCGTTCTACATGGCCAACTGCGTGGTTCAAGTCCTGGAGCTGGTGGCTTAAAAATCACATCAGGCATGTGCACACACATGCCCCAAATCCCAAGAGGAGAATGGAGGAGAAGGGACTGTGGCGTGGCCATCCACCTGGGGGGTATGATTTTTCATTTTCTCTCTCCATTTTTGTCTCTCTCTGTCTCTCTTCATCTCTCTATGGTGAGCACAGATGCCCTCTGGCAAAAATTAAAAACCAAAAAGAAAGAGTAAGCAAAACTTTGCATTCTGAGCAATGAGACTTCTAGCTACTTCCTATATAATTCTCTCAGGTTGGAGGACACCAATATATGTCTGATTCAACTCAAATCTCACACAGGGATACTGTAAAATGCTAAGCTGGAGATTATGAAAGGCCAAAATAAAGACTTACACACACGGATATTTGGGGAGGTCTCCCAAGGCAATGGTGCTGTCCCTGCCTTGGTTACAGTGCAGCCCTGCTAAACAGGCCCCATTCATCACAAAGTGTTGATTGTTAGCATTTTGACATATTATCCTTCTTAAATATGAGAATATAGCCAAAGAGCACAAGACATTGAGGAGACGACTATAACATGAAAAGATGAAACCTCTACCACTCTGCATGTGCACATGTGATAAAGGAAGATAACTACGCAGAACAAGAGTAAAAAGACATAATATAGAAAACAGAAGACAATTTTGAAAAATGACTGATTAATATCCCCAGACAGGGCAGAAGGTGGCATGGTGGTTAAGGTACTGGATCCCACATGAATGACTTCATGGTTCAAGTCTTGGACCTGGCAGCTTGAAAAACACACTAGGTATGTGTGCATAAATGCCCTAAATCCAGAGAGGCGAGCAGAGAAGGACTGTGGCATGGCCATCTCTCCTGGGGGTTGGTTTCCTACTCTCGCTCCAGTGACCACACACACCCTATGGCAAAAATCTAAAAAAAAAAAAATCCCATACAAATTAAATATAATAAGAACTAGTACTTACTTAGTACTAACTCGGTGCTACTCACTGTTCTAAATGTTGCATATGTATTACTCATTTAATCTTTTCTTTTTTTTTAGAGAGAGAGGTTTTGCTATAGGGCGTGTGTGTGTGTGTGTGTGTGTGTGTGTGTGTGTTGCTATAGGGCGTGTGTGTGTGTGTGTGTGTGTGTGTGTGTGTGTGTTTGTGTGTCTGCTGGAGAGATAGAAAGCAAGAAATCACCCTTCAGGGGGGATGGCTGCGCCACAATCCCTTCTCCTTCAGTCTCCTCTCAGCATTTTGGGCACGCATGCACATGCGTCCAGAGTGAGTTTTAAGTCAGAGTCTGGGACTCAAATCACGGTCGTAACCGTTATGCCATCTGCTGGTCCCTACCCATTTAATCTTTTTTTTTTTTTTTTCTTTTTGAAGAAGTGCTGGTCCCTACCCATTTAATCTTTTTTTTTCTATTTGAAGAAGTTTTTTCTATAGGGCGCATGTGCTCGCCAGAAAGACAGAGAGGGACAGAGAGACAGAAAGCGAGAAATCACCCCCCAGGGGGGATGGTCATGCTGCAATCCCTTCTCCTCCATTCTCCTCTCGGGATCTTGGGCACACACGCACATGCACCCGATGTTAATTTAAGCCGCTAGGTCCAGGACTTGAGTCGTGATCGACTACATGGGAGCCAGCAACATAGCCATTATGTCAACTGCTGGTCCCACTACCCATTTAATCTTAATAGTCACTTTATGAAATATGTACTTATTTTAAGATAAATAATAGATTGGTATCTAAGTGCCACTTACTAGCTATATAACTTTGAACAAGTTCTTAATGTCCCTGAGACTCATGCTCTTTTTAAAAAGTGGGATCTAGCCATTCTGGGAAAAAGGAAGATGTCCCACTGATAACTGGGCCTCCAGCATACAAAACTCGCATGAACAGCCCTTCTTCAAGAGACAGACAGCTCCATGGCTCCTGTGATCTAGCCATTCTGGGAAAAAGGAAGATGCCCCACTGATAACTGGGCCTCCAGCATACAAAACTCACGTGGTAGGAAGACCACTTACAAGTCTCCTGTCTCTGTATCACTCTTTGTCTCTCTCTACCTCTGTCT